CTCTCTCTCTCTCTCTCTCTCCTTCATAAGTTTAACATACAGAGACGTTAACTATAGAAAACAACGAGCTCATTATCATCCTCGATTCACTTATTTTCTTAAGATATTAGTTAAAGTCTATTTTGATATACTTTTGCAGGAGTTATGCTCTTTATTTATTTGAATACTTTCAAGTTGAAGGAGGCATGCCGCACAGTATATCAGTCCACAGTATCTTCAGCTTTATTATGTTGTTAGGAGCAGGAAATGGAAAGAAGAAGCCGCAGAAAAGAGAGGCAGTAAAAATCGAGCCCTTGCCTCGCCTTCAGCCTTCATCTGCAACAAGTGTGGCAGAGACTGCCATGCTCGAATCGGTCTTTTGAGCCTCACCAGAAGATGTTCTGGAAAGGAGTGATGAACAGGCGGAGCCATTGTCACCCGAGACAGAAGGAGCCGACGATTATGACCGGCGCCCAACAAAGAGCCATGAAATCAGTATTAGTAGATAACAAAACGGGCTCGTACAAAAGGATATCAAATCCACCTCTCTGTACAATTTCTCTATTTCGAGTTGTCGGTTCTAATTTTAACAACGTTGTATGTTGATTACTTACAAACATATTCGTTGATGTCTGTTTGGTGCAGTCAACGAAGCTGCCGAAGACCTGCGTAAATCTATAGTTACAGGGTCTTTTCACAAATAGCCAAGACAATGCCTAACCAACTTTTCTGGGAGCGATGAACTTTGCTCTTGTCTGCTGTGTTCCCTTTGACGCAAAACTATCCAGCATTAATACCTATAAATGTGGTTGACGTCATTTGTGAACGGGGCTAAATAATAACAACGTAGGAGATGGACACGACCCACCATAAAGTAATAAGTACATTGACATGTCGGGCAATCGGCTCTTGCGTCGATGGGCCTCAAGAGCAGATTTCCCGAGATGAGAAAGTCTTTTCCTGCCAAATCGAGTCCGCCGACTTCCGGGGATGAGAAAGTTCTTTCCTGATACACGGTGACCAAACGAGCCAAGCCCAATCAGTCGTATTATTTATTCCCCGATGCGCTATTGCCACATCAAGGCGAAAATAAGAAGATAAGAGCATGCTAGAAAGCGCTAATGACTATTATTATTGCCAGTGCGTGTTTAACAACTTTCTGTCTCCGACAAC